TAATATTAAAACAGAAACATTAAATCTGCAGAAAGACAGAGTAGGCAAAACTCTTGAAGACACTGGTGTAGGCTAAGATTTTATGAACAAAACTCCGATTGCATAGAAACCATCGCAAAGAATCAACCACTGGGATCTCATCCTACTGAAAAGCTTTTGCACAGCAACAGAAACCACCAACAGAGTGAAGAGACAACCCACAGTGTGGGAGAAAATGTTTTCCAGCTGTACCTCAGACAAAGGATTACTACCAAGAACATATAAAGAACTCAAAAAAATTAGTCCTCCCAATCCAAAAATGAGCATCTGAGATAAATACACACTTCTCAGATGAAAAAATATAAACAACAAATAAGTAGGTGAAAAAGTGTTCAACATCACTAGTCATTTGAGAGATGCAAAATAAAACAACACTGAGGTTCCACCTCACCCTAGAAAGAATGGTTACTCTCAGGAAATCAACCAATAACAAATGGGGGGCTGTGAGAAAAAAGGAACCCTTCTCCATTGTTGGTAGGAGTGTAGACTGGTGGGAGTGTAGACCAATGTGGAAATCAGTGTGGAGATATCTCAAAAAATAAGACTATAGGTCTCATTCAACCCAGCTATTCCCCTTCTGGGCATCTTCTCAAAAGAATTAAAAACATCTTAACCACAGTGACATATGAGCAACCATGTTTATAAAGCACAGTTTGTACTATCTGGATCTTGGAAAAACCTAAATGCCCATTGACTAAGGAATGGATTAAAAAGATGTGGTATTTTTATAGAGTGGAGTACTACTCAGCCATAAAGAACGATAAGCTAGACACTTTTACAGGTAAATGGATGCAACTGGAGCCCATGCTCCTAAGTGAAGTAAGTCAGACACCCATATGTAAACATCATACTGACTCACTAATGTGAGAAGCTGAAACAACACATGTATATGTATATGTGTATGTCTATGAATACATGTTACCCTACTGATTCCCTGAGCTCACTAAAGAGAAAGATTGGTACTGGCATTATTTAGACCATTGAATTCAGATGTCTTGTGCTCTGGGTGAATGATTTGGGGATGACAATAACAATGTATGTAGCAATTGTTGGCCCCTAATTGACGTGTTTTGACATTTTTAGTCTTTTTTTTTTTTTCTTTTTCTCCTTGAAATGAAATGGATTTGGGAAAAAAATAATTGCTCATGTTGACCTCCAAAAACTAACTAAATACATACATACATACATACAGAAAAGGAAACGTGGTATTTACACACAGTGGAGTACTAGTCAGTCATGAAGGATAAACTCGGGTCACCTTCGGGGAAACGGGCGCACCTTGAGCCTTAATGTTAAGTGAGACACATTAGACACGCAAGCTTAAATATCACATGGTTCCTTGTGTATGAGAAACCCAAAGTATAAAGAGCAGAAATCAAAGACAGGTAACAGCAAGTAAGAAAGTGGAACTTTTCAAACAGAAAGGGGGCTCATGGGGTGGGGGCGGGGGTTAGGCACAGGATGAAAACGAATTAGGATGCACAGGCACCGGCGCCACCAGCAATGCGATCACTGTGTACTAAAACGTGTACGAAGACACCTAAAACCTTCATGAATAAATTATAGATTATGCATCTCTTTCATGATTAAGAAACAGATTCTAATGACAGCGATGCTTTTTGTTCCTGTGGGCCATGGGGCTCCAGGACAGGGTGCCAGGGTCTTCCTGGTGACAAAGATTTGGACGCAGCAGGTGGCAGTTGGGCGCACGGCGGTTTATTAGGGCGGCAGGGCCAGCGGAGTGGGTGGGCGCATGTGTAACAGGACCCTACCAGCTGAGAGCATTCAGACCACTGCGCCTCGTCCAGGCCTCCTGTTGGGTCTCCACACATGATTGACAGATGCGCATTGGTCCGCTGTATCTATGGAGTGGTCTTTTTTTCACAATCCAGCTACACCTGCACGGAGCCAGTCTGCCCTGCGCGCTAGGGAGCCAGGGGGACTGCAGGGCACACGGCAGGCCTGGTGCGAGTGCATCTTGAGCTAGAATTTCCCAATTTTTCAGGGCAGGCTTGGGGGTCTCTTCACCTTCCTGTAAGCTTGGGGCGTTGGCCCAGCCACAGTGAATGCAGGAAGTGGCCTCGCAGCCCAGTTGTTTGATCTAAGCTACTTTCTCTTACAGCCTAACACCAACGGTTTTGTGAAGATGGTGAGGAGGAGATATGTAAACTGCGTGCGGACTCTAGATCGGGTAGTAACTTTGACCCATTGCTTCAATATTACTTCTCTTGGTAATGATCAGCATGGTCAGTTGCTAACTGCACTCTCAAGTCTGAGTGCAAAGGTTCCCACCGGCCAGGACTGCCTGCCTGCCCGCCGGGGACGGGGGCGAGCTGCTGCGGGGCTGCAGGTGTGGGCTGTGACCCCGAACTGCTCCCGAGACACTGACACAGGCGGCTAAGGGACAGAGCCGCGCTCCGGACAGTTGGGGCAAGCAGAGGCCTCCGCCATCGGTATGCAGCCGGTTTGCAGAGAGGTTACTAGGATTACCAGACAAAGCCTTCCGAGCTTCGCCCAAGAGGCTCTCCCTTAAGAAAGCATGAAAGGACACTGAGAGGTGTGCAATTCCTGTTGTTGTCATCATTTGAATAAATGCGGGAGAAAACAACATAAACTAAATGAAACTCCTCAAATACGTAATAGTCATGTAACCAACTCTAAAGCGAAGTGATTGAAAGGAGATACAATGAGACCCTAAGTGACACTGATGGCAACTACCAACTACTTCACAATTTGCCTGCCAAGGCTTTAAAAAATGAAGTGAAAATAAAACAGCTGGGCATGGTGGTACAAGCACGTGGGAAGCTGAGACAAGGATCGCTGCCTCAGGCCAGCCTGGGCTACTTCACATGTTCAAGGTCAGCCTAACATAACAAGACCCTGTCTCAAAATAACCAAAAAGTTTTTAATTAAAAAAATTAAACAAAACCAGCAAAATAAATATTAAAGGCAAGTATTACAAAGACCCTAAGAGCTTCAAACAAGAATCAGTGAATTCATTATGCAATGACAATGAACATTGTGTCACAACAATTTTCTAAAGCACAAATAAATGAGTTTGGGTTCATTTCTATGAAGGACAATTTCAGTGTATGTAGATTAACTCTTCAGAACTCAGCTATACTCTGAGAAATTTTATCAAAGCTCCCGTCGTTACCCCTGGCCCTCGTGGCTGTACATGCGTATCAGATAAGGAAGCTCTGCCCTTTTCACCCCCCTCCTCCTTCAGCTCCTTGGATGCCTAAGAAACACCCCTGGCCTCACCCACGGGAAGCGCAGTTCGGCAGTCAGCGCTCTCACCAGTAGGGGGCGAGAAACATCCGCAGACCCGCCGCCTCGCGGCCGCAGGCCCGCGCCCTCCCCGCTGCTGCCCGCCAGGTGTCAGCCGAGAGGCCAAATGGCGGGATTCGCCGCAATCTAAATTAGCAACCTAAACTCTGAGGCCATAGGCTTGCCCCTAATTGTCCGCATGTTTATACTCCAGCTATCCTGCTGAGTCCATGCTAGGGCTACGTCAACTCAAATCCGACCTGTTAAAATTCGGTTGATTTTCAAATAGCAAGACCTATGAATTTAGTCTACTGTGACTCAGCTCAACCTCCCCAAATACACCCTACAAAATAATCTAAAATGTTTAAACATGGACAGCCAAAACATCTTCCAAAGTACTTTTGAATAAACTCCCCCCCCCCGTATTTCTCTTCCATGCATTTCTGTCGATTGCCAATAATCTAAAGGCCATGTGGATGGTCAGACACCAGTAATCCCAGCAATCTGAAGGCTGGAGCAAGTCCATCCACGGGCTTGTGAGCCTAGCCTAGGCTACATAGGGAGACCTTGTTTCAAAAGGGAAAAAAATCTAAAATGAGGTTAGCCCCAGTATGATGTGAGGAAGGCACTATTTTTTACAAATACATTCACAACAAAGAAATGTAATTTTCGTGAGAATTACTATTGACATAGCCCAGGGTTCTCAGCTGGAAAAAATATGAGACAGGGTCCAGCTATACAGTTCAGGCTGCCCTTTAACTCACGTGGATCATCCTGCCGCTGCCTCTCAAGAGTGCTAGGATTACAGAGGTGGCTTACCATGCCTGGCTTTCAACTGACAATTAAAAATGAAGCTTTATAAAGTAGGTGTGGTGGTTGTAATTCCAGCACTTGGGAGGCTGAGGCAGGATTCCCCCACAAGATCAAGGCCAGTCTGGGTTTACCAGCGAGCCCCAATCTTAATGGCTACGAAAATTAAAGCTTGTTTAGAACCAAGCCCCAATGAGGCCAAACCCTGCCAGTTTAACGCCCACCCTCGCACTGTGCACAAGGTGGTGAGCTTTGTCCGCAAGGCCGCCCTGCGCTGGGCACCGACGAGGTGCTTCTCTGGGGCACGTACGTCCTCACTCCTGGGGACTCGGGAGCTACACCCTGCCGAACCGGGGCCAGGCCGCGTGGAGCCGGCCTGGGCCTCTCCCCTGCGCGCGTCCAGGGGTACAGCCTGCTCGCGTCTGTGACGCCAGCGCTGGCCCCGTGTCGGCCCGGCTCGGGCTCGGCCCCCCGCCAGACCGCGTCCCTCGGCCTCCTCTTGCGGCGCCGGGCTCACAGCTCCCCGCCCAGCCCACCTCCCCGCAGCCCCTACTGGACTTCAGGACCGGGGCGAAGCAGGGACCAGAAGGGCGCACCAAGTGCCGCACTGAGGGTCCGCCTCGGGCCGCGCCCCCGCCCGGAGCCGCGCGCCGCACCTTCCGCAACCCGCGCGCGCACGGCGAACGAGCGAACGAGCCGGCCAACGGATGCGCGCGCGCTCCCAGGATGGGGGCGCGCGCAGGGAGGGCGGACCGCAGCCGCGGCGTGCGCGTGCGCACTGGGGTTGTTTTTCACAAAGCTGCTCTTAAAGTGAGCTGGCAGCGACTGGGATCCCGTCTTTGTAAGGAGACCACTGAGACGAGCAGGCTCACCCGGAGCGGCGGTGGCGGCGGCAGGCTCTCTGCTGCCCTGACTTTTTAAGAAATCTCAATGAACTATTTGTAAAGAATCGCTGATCCGGCCTGCAAGGGTTTTTTCTTTTTGCACGGCAAAGACATCGATCAGTGTCTGAAGATCGCATTTTACATGCGATCTTGACTTTTTCCCCTCCTTTTGGTCTCACATATTTTTATAGGTTTTGTTAAAATCATGGTGCTGGGGAAGGTGAAGAGTTTGACGATAAGCTTTGACTGTCTCAATGACAGCAATGTCCCCGTGTACTCCAGCGGGGATACTGTCTCAGGAAGGGTGAATTTAGAAGTTACTGGGGAAATTCGAGTGAAATCTCTGAAAATCCACGCAAGAGGACACGCGAAAGTGCGATGGACGGAATCGAGAAACGCTGGTTCCAACACTGCTTATACGCAGAATTACACGGAAGAAGTTGAGTATTTCAACCACAAAGACACTCTCATCGGGCATGAGAGAGGTGAGTATTGCGCCGTTTTCTCCGGGAAACGCTGCCCGGCGTCGGCGCTGGGCGAAGGCGCGCGCCGGCTTCTCTTCTCTGGCGGCTGCCGGCTCAGCCCAGAGCCTGCAGCATCCGCGGGCGGCGGGCGCTCGCGACTGCGCTTCCCGGCTGCTCCGCTCAGGCCCTGTGCGCCTCGCCTCGCCACGCACTCCGGCTCAGGCGTGTGGCTCCTGCGGCTTCCAGTGAATCGCTAAAAGCTGCAGTCCAGTGTTAACGTTTTTTGCCCCCTGTTACTTTACGGACCTTAGATCTGAACCCTGAGCTCCAGCCAGATTGCCACAGGGGTTCAGGGATAGATTTGGTGTTAATACTGACATGCAAAAGACTTTAAATTTTAAATCTCTGATCGTTGTTCTTCGATGAAAGCTTGCTGTAGATGATTTTGACATATGCTAGCAACACCCCCACGTGTTTGTGCCCTATTCTTTGCAGTTCCTTTAGAAATTCCCACCCAGCATTTTTTTTTACAGGATAGCACCTCAGTAGTGTAGCTAGGAAGTCAGTATGAAAAGCCATCCAGGGTCAGTCGTTTCCCTTTTTTCATTTTTATTTTTATTTTCCTGCAAGGATCATGTCTAACTTTGTACCGTGCATTCAATGAAACCCAAGCCAGTCCGATGGAATTGCAAAGTCCCCATCACCCGGGATTTGATTTTCGCTACTAAGAGGGAGATCCAGGGTTGTCAAAGAGAGAGGGGGTCCTGAGATTTCCAATTTGTTGTTTAAACGTTTACAATATGAAAATCTAGGCGACTCTTAGCTTGTTTTTCTAAGTTTCCACCCTTTGTTAGAAGCGGTTCAATCCTGTTTCGGACCAGTTCTGGGGGGTGGTGAGGAGGGGCGCTTGCTGTGCTCTTCGCAGATTGGTTACACGCGTCAGGTGGTGGCGATGACTTAATTCCCAGCCCAAGAAGAATATAATGTTAAAACTGGTTATGTAATTTTTGTGCTTCTCCTTTTTAATGCAGAATTCAATTGGAATGTTGGTTTTTGAGAACTAGAGGCGTATTTTACCTTTTTTATATTAAAAATGCACAGGCTAGGCCAGTGCTCATTGAGCTAAGGCTAGCGAAGGATGCTTTGAGTTACAGCGTTTCTGAAAATGCTAAGGTGAAATCCGGTTCTTGAATAGGACCGTGATAGTTACGCAGAGGTGCGTTGCCTCCGGAACTCATTTCTAGTCTCTCCAAGCGTTTAGTTAGTAGGTAGGAAATGCAGACGCCCAGCGACAGTCTCGATGCGTGCTGAAAGTAGGCGCCTAAGTTTGCGCTTGAACCTTTCTGAACCCTGCAGCCTTTTTATAAAACGACAGAGAAGAAACAAAGGTTTTTCTTTAAGGAGTTGAGACTTACAATGGAGGAAAAGTAGAATACTGAGTTGTGGGCACAGACATCACCTGGTTAGTTGCATCCTGATGACCTGGTAAAGAAAACTGAGCGGTCCGCGATCCCCCTCCCCAGGATGCCCGGACTCTGGACTAGTTTCAATGACTTGAAGTGGTAGCTCTCAAACTAGCCTGGTCACGGAGGCCACGCCCTCAGTAGCCGGCGATAGGCGGAGCCCGGTTTGTTAGCCTGTTGCTAAGGCGATGCCAGGCGCTGATTGGATTGGGCACCGGCGGGTGGGGAGAGCACGCCGGGCGCTCCTGGGCGAGGCTCGGAACCGGCGTGCGCCGGTAAAGGTTCCTGAGCACCCGCCCCGCCTCACGCCGGTGTCACCCTGCACCCTGTCCCAGCACCCTTAAGCAGCGGCCTCGGCCCGAGCGCGTCCTGAAGCCGCTCCGCCGGCTTCACAGGTGCCGAGCGGCTGTGCGCGCAACTTTGGCCAGAAGCCCCGTTCTCGGGAACTTGGCCGGAAAGCCGGCACGACCCCCTTGGGGGGGGGGGGCGACATGCGGTGGCTCTTGCGAGCACAAAGCGTGGTTGCCAACCTGGCCTGACCCGGCCCAACGCGGCCAGGCGGCTACCTTGACTTGACCTGAGCGGTCGGGAAGGACCCGGTGGCTTGGGCCAAACACGGACTGCGGGCGGGGGGCCCCGACCATCATCGCTCGCCCCAGCCCCATTGTTCCCTGCGGCCCGCTCCCGCCCCCGCGTCCCCGCCTCGCCGCCGCTGCCAAGGTGTCCGGGTGGCCCGAGCCAGCTAGAACCGGTCGCCGGCCGGCTGGGGCGTGTGAGGCGGAAGCGCCCGACGCCCCGCCCCCCGGCTCGCGGGCTGGGCTGCGCGTGCGCGGGCGCGACGTATGCCGTATGTATAGCAGTGCGCGCGCGCGCCCAGGCGGGGAAGCGGCGGCGCGCCGCGGCCGGCTGGGTTCTGCTCGCGCCGGTTTAGGCCGGTCCGCTCCTGCTCGGGTCTAGTTCTTGATTGACAGCCAAGCACTTGTTTACCAAGGCGCGGGCGGGCGCGCGACGCGGCGCGCCTCACCGAGCTGCTGAGCTGGCACAAAAACAGGGAGCGGGGCAGGAGGCGAACTCGGGGCACCCTGGAGCTGCGGGGCCGGGCGGCTGCCTGCGCGTCCATCCTGCGCGCGGGCCGCCCTGGGCCGAGAAGGCCAGGCCTCTGCGTTGGGAGCTCGGGCGGGGCCGCACGGGCGGGTCCCCGAGATCCTCCTGCTCAGTGGGGAAACTGAGGCAGAGCTCTTGGCTCAGGCATCCCCCGAACGTCCCTGCTGTGTTTTTGACACTCCCATGGTCAGAAACTTCAACCATGGGGTTTTACCGAAGCAGACAACTTTGGGAGTGCCCGGGACGGCAGCTGAGAGTCGATTTCGGGGGCGCGCGCTGCAGCGGGGCCCGGGATCCTTTTCTGTCTGAAAAGGAGGGAGCGCTGGGGACCGGCGGTTGTGTACTGGGCCGGGAGGACCCAGTGGTGCTGGAATTAGATCCCAGATCCCGGCCCGGTTGTTCATTAGCACAGCACTTTGTGAAAGCTTTGTGCGCCCGTCTGTGCGGACACCTGCCAAGGGGTCTCTGGTTGCTTCTCTGTTGCAGAGGATGACAACTCTGAGGAAGGCATGCACACCATCCACGCGGGCAGACACGAGTACGCGTTCAGCTTCGAGCTCCCACAGACGTGAGTGTCCCCAGCCGGCCTCCCACACACACAGACTGAACAACCACACACACTACACGGACTTACTTTATTTTTTTTTAGGTTTTAGGTATTATTTTTTTTCTTTAAAAAAAAAAAACCCTTTTCATTACACCAATTTGCTGGAGGAAAACAATATATTAAACATAAGAAGCTATTTTTTTAATCCGGTGTGGCAAAATTACAGGAAGCAAGGTCATTTATTAGGATTCCTTGCCAAGGCTTCTGTGCAGGTGTGGATCCTATCTCATTTAACAAGTGAAGTTTGGAGGGTGCCAGTGAAATACTAAGTGCTTCATAAATACTGATGGCATCATTAGAGCAAATCCTGTCAAGTCTCAGTTCATAAAGATTACCTTTTTTGCTAATTATTAATTCACAGATAAAAAAACTGGCCAACTTAACTGTTGTGGCAAATAAATTTAAAGAGTACATAGAGTTTGCCATGTGCCAGATATAGATTATTATGCAGTTTTGTTAATCCAAGGACTTTGAGTTTTGTACATACAGTTCACAGATGGTAGGTTTTTGTTCAAAGTATTATATTTGAATAAACTATAAATCAGTTACTGAATTTTCACTCTGCTTTTTATATGTTAAGGTGAGAATGCAAAAACACTGCAAAATCTGTGCTCCTTCGCAAAGCTAAGCCAGCACTGTACCTTGTAAACAACTGAGCACTGAGTGTTTTTCTAATGAAAAACAAGAAAAGGACCATTACTAAAATCAAACCTTCAAAGTAGTAAATCCTGAAACTAGATTTTCAGGTCTGATTCTTTTGACATAGGTTATAGGGATGTTTTCATCTTTTATGTCTCAGTGAAGTTGGAAAACAGCCAACAACTTTAACATGAGTCAGTTGGAAAGTGCCATAGGACTTTTTCAGAGCATCAGTGGGCTTGATGAAAAGTGAAATTTTTGAAACAGTGACAGATACTAGAGGCCTCTTCCAGACCTGAATCAGTGTCGGTAGGAAGAGGCAGTGATTCCTAACTATGAGAGACACAGCTTGGAATCTGGTCTCAGTCATTCCCCAGTGTCTAAAACTGTTGGCTAGAAATAATTGAGCCGTTCTTAACTTTGTTTTTAAATGAAATTCTTGACCTTTTCAAGAATTGTTTGTTGAACTGTAATTTGCCACCAAGTATTAAAAGTAGCCTCTTCTTAGTTTAAAGGGATTGTATTCTTCTGGCTTCTTAAAGCAAATTTTCTAATATTTAACTATTACTATCTATTTCATTTGGAAACAAAAGGTTTTTCCCCAGTGACTTATCCCTTTGGAAATTTTGCCCAATCAGATGTTTGCTACCTCCCTGGCGATCCAGAGTCGCTGTGTCACCACTTGTCTTCCACCTGCTGCATCGCTCTTAGAAGGGGGTGTAGGATTAATATATTGACCTTTATTCTACGCAGACCACTTGCTACCTCATTCGAAGGCCGGCATGGCAGTGTGCGCTATTGGGTGAAAGCCGAACTGCACAGGCCTTGGCTTCTACCAGTAAAATTAAAGAAGGAATTTACAGTCTTTGAGCATATAGATATCAACACTCCTTCATTACTGGTAAGAAAAGACTGAATTCTTCATTCTTTGTTTTGGGCATCTAAATATTAAAAGAATAAATCACCTGAACTATTCAGTTTTCGTAACTTCCAAGGAGTGGTTTTACTTTTAAGTCCCACAAACACTGCTATTTTTGAATTGTCAAGAGTGCTACAAGTTCATGACGCATCTGCCCATTTTTTGATATTGCAGTAACTTTAAATAAGTTTAAAAGTCAGACCAGCATGTGGGGTGACATTGCCCCAGCTCAGAGCAAGACCATAACACAAGCCCCACTGCCTGGGCAGCTCTGGTGGACAAGAGTGTCACCTGTTGTGAGACCGAGTCCCCCAGCCTGAGCTTGCCCTCTAAAACCAAACTGCACTGCATTATTCCAATCAGGGATAGTTGTCAAATGATGGGGAATCATCATTTTCATGGAAAAAATTAATTTCTTTATTAAAATAAATTTTCTTCATTACATTTTATGTGATTCAAATTTGACTTCGAAAACTTCGGTTTAAACAAATGGTAACATCTTTAAAGCAAGTAAGAACCTTAAAAGTGTTCAGTCTTTTAACATGCAGACTCTTACATTCTTAAAGAAAGATGTTAGCATTTGGGATTATAACCACCCTACTTCCTGTGCTGCCTTTCCATAAGGTAGTTTAAATGGAATTTGGAAAGGGTTTTTTTGTTTGCTTGTTTTTAATTGTTGTCTATGTAACTGGGTGGGTTAAAACTAGGTTTTTTCAAAGACAAAAGTAATGGTATAAATTTAAAAGGCATTGGTGGACCAGGGATATAGCTCAGTGGCACAAGCGCCTGCCTGGTGAGCACACGGTCCTGAGTTCAATTCCCGATACCAAAAATAAAAATGGCATTGGTTGGGAGGCAAAAGCATTTGGGGGGGGTAAAAAAAAAAAAAACAACACAGTGATTTTACATTCTCCAGGAGTTTAGACTACTACTTTAAAATACTCTGGTATTTTACTATTCATACACTGACCATTTCTTCAAACTTTCTTTCTTGCAGTCGCCCCAAGCAGGCACAAAAGAAAAGACTCTGTGCTGCTGGTTCTGTACCTCAGGCCCAATATCCTTAAGTGCCAAAATCGAAAGGAAGGGCTACACCCCAGGTATGTATGCCATGGGTGCCCTCCGGGTGGGACATACCTGGAATCCTAGGAGGTTGAGGCAGGCAGATCACTTAAGTTCAGGGCCCAGCTAAACTACAATAATAGACTCTGCCTCAAAAACTAAAATCTTGTCTTCACTTGGCTGTTGTGTATAAGCGTGGGCTGTTTATGCCAATGCAAACTTCAGCCAGGATTCAGCAGTCTGGTAAAATAGTGCAAGCTGAGCCTGTCTGGTTAGTCTGCGCAGACTGCAAGGCAGCCTCCTCCTAGCAGTTAGGACCCTGCATCCCGGGGGTCAAGCACTGGCTGGGGAACCCTAACCCTGCACCTGCCCCGCCCAGGCGAGTCCATCCAGATCTTTGCGGAGATTGAGAACTGCTCGTCACGCATGGTGGTGCCCAAGGCGGCCATCTACCAGACGCAGGCCTTCTATGCCAAGGGCAAGATGAAGGAGGTCAAGCAGCTGGTGGCCAACCTGCGCGGGGACTCGCTGTCATCGGGGAAGACGGAGACGTGGGACGGCAAGCTGCTCAAGATCCCACCCGTGTCCCCCTCCATCCTGGACTGCAGCATCATCCGCGTGGAATACGCGCTTATGGTACGCAGTGGCAGCCCGGGTCTGAAGTGCACGGATGGTGACAAAAAGACGGGGCGGTCTTCTTTGGTACTGTCAGAGTTATGTCGTCAGTCTAATAGTTGGGATCATAATCCCTAGTTTATGTATAAGCACAGTTACAGCATTGGACGCAAGAGACTCTTGGTGTGTATAAGTAAAAGCATAAAACAAATGGGAACCAATGAACATGGAAATTGATTGTTTTTAAAAGAAAAATCCTAGTTAGTCATGATAAGCGCATTCCACTAATCCCAGTACCAGGGAGGCTAAGGCAGGAGGATTGCCAAAAGTTGAGGCCAACCTGGGCTACATGAGTTCCAGGAGACCCTAAACTCCATAGATCTGTTTGAAAAACCGGGAAAAGTTTTTGTCATGAAGGAGCGATCCTGGCGGGCCCTCACTGAGCGTCCTCCACCATGCAGGTATACGTGGATATTCCCGGGGCTATGGACTTGTTTCTGAACCTGCCGCTGGTCATCGGCACCATCCCTCTGCACCCATTCGGGAGCAGGACGTCCAGCGTGAGCAGTCAGTGCAGCATGAACATGAATTGGCTCGGCCTGGCCCTCCCCGAGAGGCCCGAAGGTACTGCGCGCTTGGGTGGGGGTGGTGCTGGTGGTGGAGGAGGAGGAGGATTTTATCTGCTGTTACGCAACTTCCCTAGCTAGGTTTCTCTGCCTTCCTGTTAGATGAGGTTCATTCTCCCTAGTGTAGTCACCCCACAAGTAACCACTTGCCTTGACGCCCTGTTTTAATACTGACTATTCTGTGTATCTTGACATGCATAAGAACGCGCTGTTCGAATTGCGTGAATCTTGTTCCCTCAGCGCCGCCCAGCTACGCAGAAGTGGTGACCGAGGAGCAGCGACGCAGCAACCTGGCGCCTGGCGGTGCCTGCGAGGACTTCGAGCGCGCCCTGCAGGGTCCACTGCTCGCCTACATCCAGGAGTTCCGCTTCTTGCCGCCACCGCTGTACTCAGAGGTGAGCACTGCTGCCCTGGGGAACCGACGCTGCAGACCTCGGGGGTTTTGAGACAAGGTCTCACTGTGTAGCCCACTCCTTTCTCTGCCTCCCACCAGCTGGGATCACAAGTGTGCGCCACCATGCCCAGCCTGGCAGACTTTAAAGGTGCAGAAAGGCCTGGATTATCCTGGGTGTAGGAGAAGCGAGCTAGGCGGGCAGCTCACACCTCTGATCCTGGCTCCTGGGAGGGGTTGGGGGGCAGCACCGGTGTCCAGCAAGACCCTGTCTCAGGTGAGTGAGTGGGTGGCAAGGGGGATTCACAGCAGCAGGCAATGGCGTGTGCTCAGGCTTGTCAGGGTTACTGGGTGTGACGGAAGCAAGGCCGTTCATGTATTACTGTAGACTAGGTCACGGTCTAATTTCATGTTGAATCTTTTTTATGTTTTTAAGAAATAAGTTTTTGTTTTGTAAGCATTGATTCAACAGCTAGAACTTACCTTGCTGAGATCTTTTTCTAATTTAATTTTTGCCTATTTTAAGGTTCTTACTCATCAAGGAAAATAGCAGATTTCCAGATAACTTCTTAAGCAGCATTCCTGTGCTGTCACACTATTTTTATTCCTCTCATTGATGGCAGCTGAATTCTTACAGCGATGAGCTCTGCCTGCTTACTTGGGGGAAGCTCACAGTCTAGTGTAAAAATAAAACTTAGAACAGAGTCTCGGGTCAGCAATGCCCGGAACACTGTGCAGTGCCTCCTGGGAGTCTGACAGCAGTCACAGCAGCAGGCAGGTGCCCACTTTTGGGGCCTGCAAAGACCCAAGGCCATTACACATTTTTGAGGACCTTTGGAGTTGGCCCAGAGCAAGATGATTTTGCACATGACAAGGTACTAGCTTGTGCTTGGTTACCACGATTTATTTACACTACCTTTTTACAACAGGCCCTCACAGCCCCTCAGTCAGGTTAGCAGGAAGGAACTGCTTTTACCCTTCAAGTCACTGGGTTTTGGTTTGGCTTGGGTTTGATTTGTCTCTGAGACAGGGTCTCCATCCTGGTCCTGGCGGCGATCCTCCTGCATAGCAGCTCCCCGCCCCCATCCTCCCTAGGGCCCTGGAGGGGATGGCAGGGCACACTACTGCGCTCCGAGCCACCCTGTAGAGCCCCGATTCCCCCTTAGAGTGAGCTGAGCTCACTTGGACAGCGAAGTGGGTCTGGGCCTGAAGTAACCACAGGGCCTTTCTCTTGACCTCAGCAGGGAGGCTCATGGGTCCCTGCTTACTGAGCAGGAAGGATCCTGTCCCGGGGTTCCCGGGGAGGGGCTGCCAGTGAGTGGCTCTCCAGGGCCCTGTCGGGGTTGCATGGACGGGACCCTGACTGGGAAGGTGATTTCCTTTCCTTTGTCTTGGGCATGCCATACCAGGGGTCACTGGGCCCTGGAAGGTGTCACACACGGTGGGCAGGCACGGGGGCCCTATTGGCCTCATGGTGCCATGAGGAGCTGTGAGCACAAAGTCACTCTGTGCTGGTGCCTAGCTGGGACCTCATGGTGATGCTGCGTGTGGTCCTCACCCTGCAGGTGGACCCGAACCCAGAGCAGGCGGATGACAGGCCCTCCTGCCCATCCCGCTGAGGGGTGCCGGCCAGCTGCTGCGGTTCCGAACTGTGGCCTTCGATCAGGATGAAGACAGGAGGCCTTGGAGACACGATGGCGGAGTGACTGCCGGAGCCTAGTGGGCGCAAGGCGCGGTGACTGCTCTTGGCTTGGCTGCCGCGACACCCAGGACTGCTGCCGCCGGCGGGGTGGACAGCTGGCCAGGTCCTATGTTCCAGCCGGACAGACGCCGCCTTCTTTGAGTTGAGTTTTGCACATGCGACGCTTCCCTGTGCAGTTCGATGTCACTACAGCTTTGTTCCCATTACGCTGGACCCGGGTGTGTGGACACAACATGGGGCCTCCGGACGCCACTGGCCTCTCCCCAGAGCCGTGGGTCGCCATAGGCAGCCGTGTCCCCTCCACCGTGGTCCTGGCTGGTGATGGGAGCGGTGAGATGGGGTGGCCTGGCGCCCCCTTGGTCCTGTCACGATGTGTTGCCTTCCTACTTACACAGCGAGCAGCGTGTCACCGCCTGCCCGAGTTACTTATCTCAGGTGAACGCGTCACTTGCCAAACGTCGGGATGCTCTGTGTTGAGTTCTGGGTTCTGTGTTTTCCCGTTGTTGACTTGGTTGGTGTTTTGGAGAGGGAATTTGGAAACGGGCCGTGCACAACAGTGACAAGGGTGACAGCTGCTGTGGCCCGTGTGCCCTAGGAGGGCGGGGAAGGGGACCGTCACCCCACCAAGGGCAGTGTCTGCCAGACTGTGGTTGCCTATTTTCTCTTTGATGAAAATGGTTTTGTCATAACAGTTTGCTCAAGATGGGAGGCTGCTGTCCTGCACTCAGAGAACCTCGATGCGATGCTGGGGTGCTGGTGGGGCGACACTGCTTCTGGTGGGCTCCAATCATGCACCACCTGGGTGCAAAGCCACAGGGCCAGGGCTGAGGTGGCTGCCCCACACCCCAGAGCAGGCTTTGCAGAAGCAGCCTGGTAGGATGTGAGGGCACCCCACCCACAGGGCCTGGCAGGGCGGCTGAGCAGGCACTGAGAAGGAGGAGACCAACTGTCTCTATATCATTAAGTCCTTCTGTGAACAGCCCCTCGGAAGAAGCTGGTGGGGTTTGGACACCAGGGGTCTTTGCTGTCCCCTCCCCTCTGCCTGGGGGGAGCTGCAAGACTGGGGTGTAAGCAGGGCAGGATCCGGCATTCCCGGCTCTGAGCCAAAGCCACAGGTGGAAAACTTTATCAAATAAAGTTTGGTTTTCCCATAAAAGTATTTCTTTACTCATTCAGAGGCATTACTTTTCTAAATATTGGTCAAATCTGGATACAAGAGTGAGGTTCACAGTTGTATTCCATATTCACAGTTTCCTGGTTTTTCAGTTAGGAAAAGTCAAATCCAAAATGTTAGCAGAACAAAGTGCAATATTGAATGTCTGCTTTATAGATTATATTCTATGGCTGTTTGTAATTCTCTTTCTGTTTGTTTTTTTTTAATTTGGTGCTGAATATGTATGTCCTTGTAGGCTGTTTTAAGAAAACAATATGTGGAAAATGATTTAATTTTTCCTATTGCTCTTCCTTGTGGAAAATAAAGTGTTTTTTTTTTTCTTTTTTGTATAATTGGAGATTTATTTAAATCTTGGTCTTACTAGTAATTTGTCACACATGGAAACACTGTTACTGCTATAGTTTGACCAGGCCACTCTGATGGGTTATTTCTAGATGTGCTCCAAAAGAAAATTCCTGAGGCCTTACAGGAATTTTGCATGCTAACGGTTGGTTCCTTAGTAAGTCAGGTTATACACACATTCCTGGAAGGCACGAAGGGTATATAAATTTCAGTCTTAAATGTAAGCTAGGTTTAACCAAGTAATTTTAGGTAATCATTTCTTCCTACCATGATGTGTCTAACTTCTAGTAGACAATTGCAATTTAAGTTCTCTCATATTGAAAAACATGCATTAATTTTTCTTAAACTTCAAAAAAAAAAAAAAAAGTTGAAACCTGGCAAATAGAACAGTACCAAAAAGAAAAATTTGGATGTAGTGATACATGCTTATCATTCCAGCACTGGAGAGGCTGAGGCAGGAGGATTGCTGCCAGTTTTGAGGCCAGCCTGGGCTACTTTGCAAGACCTTGTCCAAAAAAAAAAAAAAAAATACATATATATATATATATAACACATTTATATATATGTACATAGCAAAATCAAGCTCATAAATATTTTGGGACAAGGCCTTGCAATATAGTCCATGCTGGCCTCAAACTTGCAAGTCTTCCTGCCTCAGCCTCCAGAGTGCTGGGACCACAGGCCTGCGCCACCCAGCCTGGCGAGAATCCCAGTTGCATGGTGAGGGGTATCATGAAGTACTTTTGGAATTGGAGTTTTCCTGAGTGTTGGTACCGGGTTATCAGTGGTGTCCACCCCTCCTGTGGGCTCCAGTACACCCCAGAGCTGTGCTCCCATTTGTGCAGGTTTCCTGGAGCTCGTGGCAGAGTGATGACCTGGACGCACAGGGACAGTCAGTGCTGCTGGCCTTAATAACCCCAGCCAGCAGTGTGCCCGAGTCCAGCTGTAACGGGCAGCAAAGACATCCCTGGGGCTGAGCCCAGCTCCGCAGGTGCTGACCACATGGGCCAGCTGTCTGCCCGCCCCGGGGTTCCTTCCACCAGGGTCCCGGGACCCTCACACCGCCTGCAGCCGCTTCCCAGCTGGCAGGAGACCCCTCGGGTTGTGTGGCCGCTGTACCCTTTCTCCTGGTCCAGCCTCGAATCAATGGAGACCAATGCTCTTTTTGGTTTCATGTCATGTAAGTGGATTCCCTATTGCTGGCCATGGTAGCACACACTGTGATCCCACACTCAGGAGGCTGAGGCAGGATGATCCTTGCAAGTTTGAGAGCAGCCTGGGCTACATACAGGGACCCTATCTAAAAAAACAAAAAACCTCCAACAAAAAACCCAGCACCGACAGCTGGCTTTAATGTGTCTGGACTGACTGTTTCAACCAGCGTTGAACTTGTAGCCCTTACACCTCAGCTTTCAAGGAGCCCGGGTTGTAAGCATGTGCTATCATGCCTCCTGACTTGCCAGGAGCCTCGTACCTAGGAGGCAGGCTTTCCCCTGCCAGGACCCCTTGGTGCGGGACCCAGTGCTCTGGAACAAACATAGGCATGATCCCCCTCGGGAAGTGATGGATGTCCTGGGCATGCCCCAGGGGATCCCACGATGACCAACGGAGAGGGACCCAGCTCCCTGACCCCAGGCCACTCCACAGGCAGCTAGGGATGGCTCCTCGGGGCTCACATCCAAGACCAAGCAACGAACTGCTTCAGCCTTTGATTCCCAGAAGACAGGCTGCAATCGGTCTGTATGAAAAGTATCAGTAAAGAGTGAGTGTATGACACACACCTGTGATCCCATCAGCATGCAGGAAGCTGAGGCAGGAGGATCAAAAGTGTGAGCACAGTTAGGGTTTTGAACTAAACTGTCCCCAAAAGTTTCCAGCAGTGGGGCTTTTGAGAGGCGCCTGAATCTGGGGCGCTGGTCATCGGCCAGAGCCTGTTAATAGGTCCTCAGCTGGAATGCTGCCAGGAGGCCAGGCCTGCTGGAAGAGTTGGTCCTGGGGTGACCACCTGGCATGTGCCTGACCCCTCCTGCTCCTGGCTGCCCCAGCCCAGCCCTCCTGCTATCTCTCCCTGAGCCAGCTGACTGCTGATTCAACTCCTGGAACCCCAAGGCATGGTGCATGTCTTCCCCTTTAAGCTGTCGGTGCTGGGTATTTAAAAAGTGAGAATAATTATTTGGCAAGACCTTATATCAAAAACTAAACATGGCTGGCGAATACAGCTCAGTGCAAAGGCCCTGGGCTCAGTCCCTGGGAGGGCGGGTGTAGGGACACATTGGAGGTTTTTTGTTTTTTTAGATAGGGTCCCTGTATGTAGCCCAGGCTGCTCTCAAACTTGCAAGGATCATCCTGCCTCAGCCTCCTGAGTGTGGGATCACAGTGTGTGCTACCATGGCCAGCAATAGGGAATCCACTTACATGACATGAAACCAAAAAGAGCATTGGTCTCCATTGATTCGAGGCCGCTGCCTGCCCTCTTCTGTGAAGCTTGTGTGGCTGAGCTTGTGTGACAGGGAGGAGGGATCCAAGGGACACCAGGCTGCTCAGCTCAGCATGGACCCCAAGGCCAGCCTGCACTGCAGAGTGAGGCCCTGTGTGAAGGCCCCGAGTTCAGTCTTTGCTACTGCAAAAATAAAGTAGCATTCATAGCTCTCAGCATGGCGGCATACAGTCTCCCAGGCTGGCCTCAAATGCAGTGAGCCTCCTGCCTCAGCCTTGTGGGTGCTAGAATTACAGGTATGCACCTCTGCCAGGTTAATCCTGTTTTTGTTTATTCATTTATTTTTATTTTCTGGTGACAGGGTTTTGCTGTGTATTACAGACTGGCCTTGGACTCACTGTGTGGCCCAGGCTGGCCTCAAATTCGTGGTGATCCTCCTGCCTCAGCCTCCTGAGTGCTGGGATGACAGGTGTGTGCCACCATGCTGGGTTAGTCCTATGTTTAAAGATCATGAAAGGCCCTTGCCTGGTGCTGCCCTACCATACTACAGGGTCCACGGCATGTGCTGACGTTGGGAGGTACACAAAGGTTTATCACACATGATCTTGTACAGCTAGTGGTTATTGTATTTATGATGCTGTACACTGATTTTTTTTTTTTTTTTTGTCTTTTTGAGACAAGGTCCCTATGCAGTTCAGGCTGGCCTTGAGCTCACTTTGTAGCCTAGGCTGGTCTTGAACTCGCAAGGATCCTCCTGCCTCAGCCTCCCAAATGCTGGGATTACAGGCATGAGCCACCACGCCCAGCTTTCTACACTGATATATTTTAGAATACCTGTAAACACCATTTGCTGGTCTCAGCCAGATGTGGTGGCACACACCTCTAATCCTAGCACTTGGGGGGCAGAGGCAGGAGGATTGCTGAGAACTAGAGGCTGTCCTGGGCCTCTATGTAGTGAGCTCAAGGTCAGCCTGAACTACATAGCAAGACCCTGTCTCAAAAAAAAAAAGTAACAAAAAATAAATGCTCTCAGCAAAGTGTGATGGCTCACACCTAAAATCCCAGCCCTCAGGAGGCTGAGGCAAGAGCCTCACTGCAAATTGGAGCCCATCCTGGACTATGTCATGAGGTCCTATCTTAAAAAATAATTCTCCTGAGCTAGAAGATACAGCCAATAAAATGGTCGCTTTGTGTTCTGTCAATATCTTGATGTCTTTCTCTTTTGTAACTTGTTTGGATTATTTTAATACAAGTTATGCTGGCAGCAAAATAAAGCGTGGACTGCAGCACAGTGTTCTGGTGCCCCTGAGGTAGCCAGGTGTGCACCTGGCCACACCATGCTGGTGGCAAATGCACTTCAGTTCCCAGCTAAGAAACATCCTCACCATCTGTCAGCACTTGGGAGGCTGAGGCAGGAGGGACGCCATAAATTTGAGGCCAACAGAACTACACAGTGAGACTCTGTCAAAAAACACAAGAAGGAAATTGCCAGTGACGTAATTCCCTGAACACAGCCTCGTCCCTAGGGGCTGTGTTCCACGAGAGCCCTCCCGGAGCTTCTGCCTGCCTATTACCTGTTCCCTGACGGAGCCCCCAGTTCTGATAAACGGTCTGAAGCCGGGGTGGGAGCCTAGTCAGGAGCACACTCGTGGCTCAGTGCTGTTTTAAACTCATGGCTCACCTGAAGAAATTAAATGTCATGGATTTCAGAGACCCTGGCAGACACTAGAGGGACATCTTGGGGCAAGGCGGCCTCTGAGGACATAGTAAACCCTGAGGCGCTGCCTTGGACTCTGCTTCTGACAATGCCCCTCCTCCTTCTCCCCCTGTTGCCCCTCTTGCTCCACCCTCTCCTCTACTTCTTCCTGTGTTCCTGGATATTTTAAAATTTTGAGACAGGGTCTCGCTAAATCACTAAGTTGCCTGGCCTGGGCTCAAATTTGTCCTGCCTCAGTCTCCTGAGTTGCTGGGATTAAAGGCATGCACCATCCAGTTTACATTTCAGTTTTTCTGTTTGTTTGTTTTGGAACAGGGATCAAACTCATGCATGACCTTACACTTACAAGGCAGGTGCTTGTGCTACTGAGCTAACTCCCCAACCCTACATTACAGTTTTTAACTTCAGTGACCAATTGTATGGAGCAATGATAAAAAGTCCCCATGTTAAGCCAGGAATGGCAGCTCACACCTGTAATCCCAGCACTCAGAAGGCTGAAGCAGGGTGATTGCCAGGAGTTCAAGGTCAGCCTGTGCTATATAATGAGACCCTGCCTCAAACCCTTACCAAAAAAGTCCCCACATAGATCAGGCATAGTGGCACACACCTCTAACCTCAGCACCCTGGGAGGCTGAGGCAGGAGGATCGAAAATGCAAGTGCAGTCGGAGAAATTTAGTAAGAACTTGTGTCAGAGTAAAGAACATTTTAAAAAGGGTCAGGACGGAATTCAACTTAAGCATAAGCTCCCAAACACACACACACACACACACACACACACGCACACGCACACGCACACGCACACGCACACGCACACGCACACGCACACGCACAGGCA